GAAAGAAAGAATTACATTTAAAGCCGTCCCGGACCCCTGACACCTGTCTCCCGGATAAGAGTCTCTGCCTGGCCTGCCCACGGGGTTGCGAGAGGGTGCGATGAAGCAAGGGATGAGATTTCACTTTGTAAACTGATACGTGCAATTCAGATAGATCTTCGTCATCATGATTAGCATTATTCCTTCCTTACGGGTGATCCCAGCCACGTCTTCAGCGCTGAACTCATTTCATTCATTCCACCCTTGGGTAGAGAATGCCTTGTTTGCTGGCTGCTGGAAACTGGTTTCCTTCCCATCCTCCTGGTGACTGGGCAGGCACTCCGGCCCTCACAGTGTGGGCTGGCCCCACCGAGTGCAGTGGTCCCAGACTCGCCCCCAGCAGAGCCTGAATTCAGAGCCTGAATCCGACATCCCCCTATCGCTTCTCTGGGAGCCTGAGGACCCTCCCGTTCTTTTCCAGGACCTTCCCCACCAAAAGGTGTTTGGGAACGAGCCCCATCCCCTTTCAATCCTCCAGCTGAGACAAAGCCTCATAGCATCTTGCTTTTCTCTCCCTCTTTGCAAGCCTACTCGAGCCGGTTGGTCGGTGACCCGACCGGCAGTACTTTTTGGCTGCGGGTACGGAAAATAGAGCTCGTCGGTGCGCCCCAAAGGATTTGTGTCACAAGTGGAGTGTCCTCGTTGGTTAAAGCAGCCATCTCCTTAGAGACAGAGCTAGGCACGCATGTTCAAGTGAGGCGTTCTCTACAGGAATAGAGGCTGGAAATGTGGAAATCCTGGTATTCAACACTTACCCTGCCACAGGGTTGGGGGAACTGGCCTGCACAGAGCACCCGGGCCCCGAAGGGCCAGGCCTGTGTTCAGTAGGTGGAGGTGTATCTCCCAATGGCTGTGCCCTGATCGGAGAGTCCGGTTGCCTGCCGTTTGTGAAGCTCGTGTTATTGTGTACTCAGTCGTGCTCTGTAAACTTGGCCAATTTCCCAGGGGTCTTTGCCAGCAGGCCGTGTAGACAGGTGGCTCTAAGTGTTGAGCATCTCACCTAAACACCTCCAAGTTTTGCAGCCACAAATGTTAAGGGGACGCCCCAGAGGTTGCCTGCCCGAGGGGCTCCTGCCAGGACCAGAGAGCAGGACGAAGACAGGAAACTCGGGTTTGTTGAGCACGCAGTCCCGAGAGGCACAGAGCAGCCCACCCTGGAGGGGGAGGTGGGGATTGTCCCCATTTTAGAGAAAGATGGGGTCCTCTCCGGCCAGCACAGGGCTCCTCCCCGCTGTCTCGCTGTGGGGCAGGCAGACATTTGCAGGAGCCCACAGAGCACAGCTCTTTCCAGCTCTGTGGGAAGTCTGCAGGAGGTCACGGTGGAAATACAAGCCACACTGAGAGCCAGTTGTCAAGCTCTGGCCTGTGGGAGCTGCCCTCCTCCATCCTCTGAGGTCCTTGTTCCCCAGCAGCTCCGCCGAGCTGCCCTTTAGAACCAGACACATGAGCACACCCCGGTTTTAGACCTGCACAGTCACTGGCTCACCCTGTGACCTCAGGAGAGTCACTGTCGCTCAGTGTCTGTTACACGGACGGTTTTCATGGCTGCCTCTCTCACGGAGGGCTCCGTAGGTATTTTCCAACAGGTCATAGATTCAGCTGCTGTTACAGACTGATTTTACATTATTTTTTAAAAGAAGACCTTTTTAAAAAAATATATATTTTACTAATTTCAGTGAGGAAAAGAGAAGGAGAGAAAGGAACATCAGTGATGAGAGAGAATCATTGATTGGCTGCCTCCTGCCCACCCCCTACTGGGGTCAAGCCCGAAACCTGGGCATGTGTCCTGAGTGGGAATCGAACCTTGACCTCCTGGTTCATACCAGGAGCTGTGTGACCTTGGGCAAGTCACACACCCCTTCTTTGAGCCTTGGCTTCCTTTCTTGTAAAATGGGGCTTTGCTCATTCATTCACCCCTGCTGTGTGCCAGGGAGACAAAGGAGTGGCAGCCCTGCCCTGGCAGCTGGAAGTGACAGGCCCCTTAGGGAACAGGCTGAAACCTGTGCAGTGTCTCTCAGAGGAAGTGGGCTTATGGACATAAGAAATAATTACGTTTCGCCCTGACCGGTTTGGCTCAGTGGATAGAGCGTCGGCCTGCGGACTGGAAGGTCCCAGGTTCGATTCCGTTCGGGGCATGTACCTGGGTTGCGTGCACTTCCCCAGTGGGGGATGTGCAGGAGGCAGCTGATCGATGTTTCTAACTCTCTATCTCTATCTCTCTCCTTTCCTCTCTGTAGAGGATCAATAAAATATATTTTAAAAAAAAAAAAAGTTGTGCAGCTTGGCTTGAGGGCAGTACTAAGTGGAATAAGTCCGTCACACAAGGTCAAATACTGTGTGACTCCACTTACGTGAGCAGTCAGTCAGATGCATAAAGACGAAGGTGGAGTGGTGGCTCCCGGGGGCCAGAGGAGGAGCTGGGAGAAGTTACTGTTTAATAGGTACCGAGTTTCATTTCTGCAAGATGGGTGGTGGGGATGGGTGCCTAACGATGCCACTGAACTGCACACTGAAAAAAAAGGTCAAGAGGGTTCATTTTAGATGTGTATTTTTACCACAATTTTTAAAAAAATGTTGCGTTAACTTTGTAATCAGAACACTCACAAAACGATCATTGGAACCTGGAGAAATCACACAGCTTGGCTGGAGGCTGCCTGGGGGGAAGCGGGAATGCTGGCTGTGGACAGAGACCCTGCAATGGACGGGAGCTCTGAGCGTGATAGGTGCCTGCTGGGCAGATTTTACATTATTGATTCATGTGAAGGCCATTTGAGAGGCCTCTCACCTTCCTACCTCTTGCATTTTGCACTTTTTCGAGGGAACAAAACAGAATTTGGCTGGCAGAACACTGCCCAGGCCCACTCGTGGGAGACCTGGAGCAGTGATTACAATGGCTAACGTTGATTGAGCTCTTACGAAGTGCCCGGTACCATCGTAGGACCGAGGTGATTGACACATGCAGGCACTTCTGCTGTAAAACAGCACGTGAAGTCCCAAAAAACGTTGCATTCTGTAAAATTACAGGACAAAAAGATAACTAAAAATAACAAGACATATGGGAAAACAGGTCTAAAGCAGACCACTCAAAAGTTGTGCAGCTTGGCCTCAGGGCAGTACTAAGTGGAATAAGTCGGTCACACAAGGTCAAATACCGTGTGACTCCACTTACGTGAGCAGTCAGAGTCAGATGCATAAAGACGGAAGGTAGAGTGGTGGCTCCCGGGGGCCGGAGGAGGAGCTGGGGGAAGTTACTGTTTAATAGGTACCGAGTTTCATTTCTGCAAGATGGGTGGTGGGGATGGGTGCCTAACGATGCCACTGAACTGCACACTGAACA